AGTTATCAAATAAGTATAAGATGTGCACAGTTATGATAAGTTTTACAGTTATGTAATGCACTGTTGTTGGGGGGAGAGACCGCCCCTTCCATATGAGTGTGTGTGTACGGCGGGCATGGAAAAGTCATACTCAGTGGTACTGACGTCAGTAAAAAAGGTTTGCCCCCCCAAGCGCAAATGTCAAACTCCGCCTATGGCTACAACAATGGATAGTCCCAGTGGATCAACGTTTTTGCCAGGCTCTCCAAAGTGGAGTCATGTTGTGAAAAAAGGCTGACGTCATGCCTCAGAGAAGGCTGCTGATAAACCAAGATTGCACACTGTTGCTCCCGAGCGGAAAAATAAATCCAGCAACGTGCCTATTGTTGGCACCGGAGCTGCGGGCAACATCAAAGTGATCAAGACTAAGCTGGTGAGTGTTTTTGCTTCCAAGTTCTCACCAGACCTAGATGCAGAAACTTTGTCTGTGTATCTTAAAGAAAAACTTGGCCGTGAGGTTGCCTGTTGCCAAAAAATTGGCACTATACACGGTAGATACGGTTCATTTAAAGTATCTGCTGAATGCAATGAGGTCAGTGAAATGTACAATCCGGAGATCTGGCCAGAAGGGGCATTTGTCCGGCGATATTATGAGCCGCGCAGAGCGGGAGTTATCGGCTCAAACACTGCACCTACTGCGGGGGGAATGAGTGTGCCTGTTGGTGCTATGGGCACTCACTTGTCTCGCTAAATGACTATTCGGGTCTTGTCGTACAACTGTCGTGGCCTTCGTATGGGCCAGAGCGCAGGGGATAAAGCTCGCCGCATTGTAGTTGACCACCTTCTGGAGAACTGTGACATACTATGTATGCAAGAGACATTTTTAGCGAAGCAAGACTTGGAAAAACTGAACTCTTTCAATGATAATTTCCATGGGGCTGGGGAGTCTACTACTGACTTTGGCATGGGAATAGTCAGAGGAAGGATATCAGGGGCTGTGGCTATCCTGTGGAATAAGAACCTTGATTCATCAATAGATGTGGTTAGGCTTTGTGCCGACTGGTGCATTGCAATACAGTTTACTCACAATGACAAGGAATGTATTATTCTAAATGTGTATACACCCTATGAATGTCATCAGAATGAGGATGAATATCTAAATAGGCTTGCTTTCATTAATTCCTTTATTCAAAGCAATACTTCTTCTTGTGTGTATGTCATTGGGGATATGAATGCAGATATCTCAGACAGGAACTCATTATTTGCCAAGCATATGGCTCAGTTCTGTCACGATAACAATTTTATATTGTCAAGCAAGGTGCTTTTGCCTGCAGATAGTTATACCTACATTAGCGAGGCCTGGCATACTACATCATGGCTTGATCATTGTATTAGTACAGCTGATGCGCATGCTTCACTTGAGTGTATGAGCATTCTGTATGGGACAGCAACGACTGATCATATACCTGTTGCTATATCAATACATGTCGAACATCTACCTGGGCTAACCAGAAATGTAAATAGTGCTCAAACAGAAAAACTAGACTGGTCAACCCTCACAAAGGAAGACATTACATCCTATTATGCTCAGACAGATACATCCTTAACTAATATGCATCTACCTAGAGATGCAATTATGTGTAGTGATGTTAACTGTAAGGATGCAAAGCATAGGAGTGATATCTGCTCCATGTACAGTGATATAGTAAGTGCTCTGTATGAAGGCAGTAATCCTTACTACAAAAGTAACAATAAGACACATAACATCAGGTCTGGCTGGAATAGGTATGTAGCTGAGTATCATGCTGAAGCCTGTGAAGCCACCAAATCATGGGCTATGGCAGGCAGACCCAGACAAGGGTCTGTGTTTGAGTACAAGAAGCTTACTAATGCAAGATACAAGTATGCTATTCGCTTCATCTGTACAAAATGAGCAAGCCATGAGGGCCGATTCCATGGCTAAGAAGCTGCTAAGTAACAATGTTATGGATTTTTGGAAAGAAGTGAGGGCTATAAATAAATGCAAAATATCTCTACCATGCACTGTTGACGGAACATCCGGAACAGACAACATTGTGGAGTTATGGCGACAGCATTATAGTACCTTATTCAATTGTGTCCAAAGTGAACTGTATAAGGTAGATGATATAAGGTAGATGATATTGATAACAATGAGTCAATGATGATAATGCCACATGAGGTGTGCCAAGCTATAAACAAGCTGTCTGACAACAAAGCCAGTGGTGTAGATCATATTTCTGCTGAACATCTTAAATATGCCAGTGTGAAGATAGCTCCTCTTCTTTCTATCTGCTTTACTGCCTTTATGAGTCATGGCTTGTTACCAGACTCAATGTTGTCTGTTCTGTTGGTGCCAGTTATTAAGGACAAAGCCGGTAAAGTGGGAAGCCTAGATAACTATAGGCCCATAGCGTTAGCCAGCATACTGTCAAAAGTCCTAGAAAGAATTCTGCTGGACAGATTAGATGACTTTATTAACTCAACAGATAACCAGTTTGGCTTTAAGGCTAAACATGGCACTGACTTATAGGAAATGGTATACACATATAGAGGTAATAACTCATCAGTTCTTATGTGTTTCATTGATGCTTCTAAAGCCTTTGATCGTGTTAATCATAGGAAGTTATTTGTTAAACAGAGTCAAAGAGGGGTGCCCAAATACATTGTGAGAGTTCTGGTCTACTGGTATGGCCACCAGACTATGCAAGTCAAATGGGGCAATAGGGTCTCAGCCCCATTTGGGGTTAGCAATGGTGTCAGACAAGGTGGAATCATGTCCCCAGTTATTTTTAACCTTTATATTTATGATCTGTCCAAGCGACTGAAAGCCTGTAATACTGGATGCATGATTGGTAGCACTCTAGTGAACTATATTATGTATGCAGATGATCTTGTTGTGCCGAGTCCATCTAGCGCTGGTCTCCAGCAGCTTCTTGATGTTTGTTCTGTGTATGGTGTGGAACATGACATCAAATACAACGCCAGTTGCTGTAGAGTGCTGTCATGATCTTTAGCACCAAAGAAGATAAATGTCTAAAATGTCCTGATTTTAAATTGTCTGATATTAATCTTAGTGTCTGTAATAAAGTTTTCATTCATTCATTCTCATTAGGGATTAATAAAGTGATCTTAATGTGTCGTCTTCAATATATTATATTTATAATCACTATATAGTATGCATATAGTGATGTTGATAGGTCTTCAAAGAAGTGAGATCATAACATATGGTATTGTACTATTTATATTATATAAAGAAATGTAAGTTAATAATATCTGAAATCTTAAATTCTGCACAAAACATTGAGTCATGAATAATGAGCCCGAAAGCTCCTGTCTCAAGGCAAAAACAGATCGTACAAAAAAATTATGCTATTTTATAATATATAAATAAAATAAAATGACATAAACATGCTTTAGCAAGTCTAATCCAGTCTGTTCGTCTGACTTCATGTTTCTTGCCCATCTAATGTCTATTAGGAGATGTCCTGAGATGGGATGGATGCAGGACAGTGGTGCAGTGACAATGTTATTTTGTAGGCCGACCCAGAGGTTGGTGTTGTGTCGAAGTGATGATGTTTCATAGAAGCTCCAGACATTCACCAGAGGGGGATTTACTGACGTATTTTATAACGTTAAACAAAGAGTGAAAATCTTGGCCTGTGTTAACCACAGAACAAAAACACGTTGACTGCAAAACGAGGGAACTGGAAGTGCTAAATGCTAAGGCATTTCAGGGCTTTGAGACTCATTCCTGCACCACTTCATATATCTAAGAATAACATCCACAATGGATATTCTGCAAAACAAATTTACATCCAGTGTCAACATTTATTGTCGCTGCAGGAACCATTAGTCTGACCAAGCCAGCTCTCTCCAGGGTTGTAGGTTGATAACTCTGCACTTTGTATTTCATCATCATCCTTTTTTAGGAACATCTAGTCCAGATGAATGTCTGTAATAAAAGTGCTGCGGCTTCTGTCAGTGCCAGTAAAGTTAAAGTTAGGAAATTGGATTTGAGTCCGGCGGCTGGCAGCTCCAGCACATCCTCTCCAAGTGTTCCGTCTGTCAGTCAGCTCCCTCTCTCCCGGCCGGGACGTCCAGCCAGGGGAATCGGAAAGTTCCTAACTTGGCAACCGCTGCGAGATATAATTCCTGCTATTAAATCTAGTGGATATATCCTGGATATGATGTGCTCTTTTGTGTCCTTTTACCATTCATACACGCAAATACTGTGTATGTGCAGATAGAGAACTTTCAAAAATCTGAAGTTAGGCTTCATGCCGTTGATACGTGAACCTGACTTTAGTTTTAACAACCTGGAGACTTTACATTGAAAAAACGTATGCCAATAAATTAAATATATATATATATAGGCTTAAAACAAAATGGTAACTTTTCCACTTTATCACGTGTAACATTGTATCTTTTATTTATTTGGTTTATAGATTATATAAGGTGATAATTATGATGGCAATTTCAATCAATATAGCTTCTAAATTCAATTACTTTTTACTTCTTTGTAGTTCTTTTTTAATTAGATTTTATTTTGGTGTAAACAGTAGTTGGTAAACAGCTGTCATAGTTGGTACTATTTATTTCTTCTTTGTTTTCCAAATAGATTTGTATTTGACCCAAAACAATGTTTGGTCTTCATTATCGGTGTAACTATTAAAAGCTATCAATCCTTGTCTGAATATCCAATGACAATAGTTTAGACCAAAGCAAATTATGCTCAAGTCTTTAGTGTTTAAAGAAAAAATGAATTATCAGTTTCATGAGGACAGGGTAAAACACGAATCAAATAAAGCAAATAATACCACGTCAGCAAATTGACATATTTTTTATGTTTGTTTTAGGAAAAGAAGAATTTATACAACAATAGACATTTATCTGCATTTAAACTAAAGGCAATTGTTGACCAGTTAAAGTAAATAACAAACTGGAAATTCAGGGAGCGAGACATGTTTAAAGTGAATGGATTATATTCTTCCCGTTCTTACCTGAGCCATCATTCCTGCATTTATGGCTCCGTCTGTCCTTTGAAGAGAGATTCTGCCGGCCGTGTTCCCCAGACACCAAGGACCCTCCGATAGGGGCAACACTGCCCAAACTGGGGTTGGTACTGCACAGGTTTGGGACCCCAGAGCACAGTTCAGGAGCCTCAAGCTGTGGCAGGAAGACACTGTGCCGTGAGCTATGTGAGAGCGTGGTCGGAGGGACCAACCAGTCAGGCGGGGGCTGAGGTTGCTGCTGCTGAGGCAGGTGGCCAGTGTCCTCTCCTTCAGAGTAACTGTGGGGGGGAGAACAGCTGGGTACATCCAGGTAGGAGACGTTGAAGCTTCGACACAGTGGAGATTGGGTGATGGCGGGGAGCAGACCCTGGGCTGGGGCGTGAGGGCTGCGCAGACAACCAAATAAAGAGTGATCCATGGTGATGGAGTCCTCCAAACCCCCACTCCTGCTACACCAAAAACTCCCAACTCAAGCAGGTCAGGTCGGACCTCCAGAGCCCCCTAAATCCCTCAAAAATAGTCCCTGGTTATCCAGAGCAAGCAGGTGGTTGACAATCTGATGGGGGGGAACACTGGAAGGCTCTGTGCTGACACCAGGAACCCCAGGACCAGAGTGAAGCAGAGGGAGCCTCTAGAGGGGAGCTGCTGGAGAGGGAGGAGGGGGTGTTATATATAGGGTGTAACCTGAGCGGGAGGCTGGGTAACTGGCTCAGTGCTACTGACCGCATGCATGCGATCATCCTCCAAAATGCAATGCACAATAAATCTGAACCATTCCATAAACACTGCCATTTTATTTTGGGGCTGAGCTGTGAAAAGAAAGAACAGAGTTACATCAGCTGTTGGCTTTTGGATATACAGTAGAGCAAGTGAAAAAAAGATTTCACTGTGAAGGGTCTGAGGTTTCCACTCCAGGAAATGTCATTTCCCAAACACTTCATTTCCTGCATTCACCCACTTTTGGGGTCAGCAACCTTTTTGATGTGAAGTGCCATTTAAAAGAAAAATGTGATCAGTGTGTCAAATCCATGACTTAAAGGTGGATACAAAATACTACAAATACTACTCGTTCTGCGAGTACTATTACTTTTAAGTTACCTTTAAAGAAATAGCATCATGTACTTAAAAATAACTAAAATCACTCGTGCAAAAATGTCCCTTGTTGGAAAAGTAAGGTTATTGTGGCGGCTCAATTTCCAGTTACGTTTGAGTCGCAGAGAGGCTAAACTTGGCTATAAACTGTGACGCGTTTTCGCAGAGAAAGTCCATACTGAAGCAAGATAGATTTACGATATTTAATAAACAAAATCATAACATAGTAACTATGGACAAAACGGTCAACAGAAAAAGTGAAAGCACAAGCTCACCCTGTCATTCCCCCTTGACATGAAACAGGTGACTTAAATAGACAAACCACACCAGTGTGACAATTACCGGAAGTGCTCAACAAACAAATAAAAGTGACGTAAACAAATAATAATAATAATAATACAAATAATGAACTTGGGCTGAGTAGCATTATGGCACCTACAATACCGGCCCCTAATTATCATTTCACAACATTATAATTACACTATAATAAATGACAATACACACAATATACATCCAGATCTCTGTCTTGAATTATTTTTGTTCAGAGTTCATATATTACAGTCTTTTTGGAAAAGTGATCTTTACTCACTTATCAGTATCAGTAAAAATGCTTAGTGTGGTGTGTGTGTGTGTGTGTGTGTGTGTGTGTGTGTGTGTGTGTGTGTGTGTGTGTGTGTGTGTGTGTGTGTGTGTGTGTGTGTGTGTGTGTGTGTGTGTGTGTGTGTGTGTGTGTGTGTGTGTGTGTGTGTGTGCAGGGGGCAGGGGCAGGAGACAAAAAAATAAAATAAAGACAAAAATAGTCCGTTTAGACTTGGAAAAAGTCCTCTGCCTCCTGAAGAAGGCTAACTTGCATATTTTTCATAGTCTTATATTTCAACAGTTTTACGACAAACTGTGACTTTTTTTATATGGAAATGATTATTTAAGATTGACAAACATCATATGTGTCATTCATGGCACAAACGGGATCGAAAGATAATCTTTCTCTCTCTCCATTCACTTCAATACAAACTTTTTCCGAAATAAGGGTTGCGGTCGGATAATCCAAAAATCAGCTCCTAACGTCTATTCCTTGACCTCTGAGTGAAACGTTAAGTGATAGTGGATAGGAGAATTCAAAAGGACTTAGGAGAAGAGACTGCGGTAGCCTACTTTAGAGAATCCGACTGCACTTTCACTATCCGACGTGTTTATGATGCGCCAGCGGACGTCATGAATGTGCGTCTGCTGCTGTGGGGTAACTATGGAAACTACAGTTTTCTATGCAACGGACTACAACATGGATGTTCAATAAGAACGAGGGACTACTGTAAACTCATCTAGAGACTCTGCACCGTGCTCTGATGCTGTTGCTTTATGCTTTATGAACGTGGACAACAGAGAAACATATTCTTCATGACCAAAGTTGGAATTGAAATAAAAAAGGAAAGTGAAACTTATGCTCGTCACCCTCTCCCTCCGGTCCACATTAATACAAATGATCCCAATACGTATGATTGTATGAACTATGAAAAGATCTTAAAATCAATACAGATGTATTTATTATAAACGTTAGTCCAGGGGTACTCAAATACAAATCTTAAAGGTCCAAAATAAATGTTTCAATAAGACAAAGGTCCGTTTATCACGGTCATTCAAACTTTTAAACAATTGCAACAAGATTCTTAACACGAGGTTGCAAAAACAAAAATAATCTGTATGCAGCAGTTTTCATTGTTATTGTGTCTGTGCTTGACCCCTCAGAGTCGCAGTGTAAGAGCTGCACAGTTATGAATAAAGGCAGCTGCACCCTCTTTCATTCAGCATTCCCATTATTGCTTTATAAATGTATTCCCCCTTGTGTGTCCACTGAGGTTCGTCAGGCCCAACACATCTTCAACAAACTCCCCCTTTGCCTCATCATAAAAACTCACAAACACCAGCAACTGAGCATTGTCAGTGGTGTCAGTGGACTCACCCACAGCTAAGGAAATGCACTGTGCATTTTTTATTCCATCACAAAGCTGATGAATCAAATCACCAGCCAGTATTTATGTTCTTCTGGTTGCTGTGGAATCTGAGAGGGGATTTGCTTGATTTGACCTGTTATTTCCTCTTTTTGTTTGCCTTCAACATGGTCTCCATCACTTCAGTCATGCATTCTTTTATACTCAGTTATTATCCAGTGGAAAGTCCTTACCTACTGGCCTAGTTCAATCAAAGTGGTTACTTTTTTTTGGCTGGGCAGTGTAGTTTTACACACCGTCTGATTTGACTTTCTCAGGACTTAAAACAGTTTTTTGGGGGCAGACCCCCTCAAAGAAAAAAATATATTTACACACGTAAGGTCATCATCTTAATAGTTGTGTATGCTCATCCGTGAGCAGAGCATCAAGTTGACATGTCTATTACAGCTGAATGCGGCGATTACCATTTTGTTCAGCAAAACGCCTCACAAACGTATTAAGATCAACAGCTTCAGTGCGTTTTGATTCAATGCTGAGTACAGCCACACTGACAGTCTCTTCTCTGTCATTGTAGACCGCAAATACCTCATTCCTTCAGTGCTTGGGTCCGAATGCTTCTCGTTTTGCGCCGTCCAGTTCAAAATGAAATCGCCGCCAATCGTATGTCCACGCTCGCGCCAGGACCGGGGGAGGGGTTACATGACGTGCATCTTGTGCTGCATTCACTTGCACTCGGACATTAGAGACTTTCTCTCATAAATGTCCGATGAGCCACAACTTTTCTTTCAAAACAAAGCTGCCAACTGGGGTGGCAGCTGGAGTGTCAGTTGCCACCCCAGTAGGTGAAACTAGGCTACTAGCTACAGTACAGATGGAACTAGATGAGCTGTTAACTCTCGCTCTGAATTTATTTATTTTAAATTCTCGCTCTGACTTAGACAGGTTGAAAGAGACACACACATTTTTCCCACCCGCAGTCCGCGAAGACCCGCCCTACTGTGCCTCTGATTCGCAGATTGTTTGGGGGGAAAAAACGCTGACTGGATGCTGAATGTGATTGGACCAAAGCGTTGACACACACAGGTGGAACACAGTGGAACAGTCAGACATGCAGAGCGCTGTTTGCAGTGGACATAGCGGAGAATTTTGACTCGTTGCGAATGCGTTGTGGCGATGTCTCACATATAATACAGAGAGATAATACATATGAAAAGTATAATTTGCTCAGAGTCCGGAGACAGTGGTGGTTCGGTCCGGATCCGGACCGGAGTCCGTAGTTTGAGGATGCCTGCGTTAGTCCTTAACATCTATCACTGTGTATATCACCATTCAAACATCTTTTAAAAGTTGAACAAACCCACACAGCTCAGTGAAATGTTGACTTTATTTGATCATTTCAGTAAAAACTAACGTTCATATTTCTCTTTGATTATAATACTGATGAACGTTCAAAACAAAGCACTTTGGCAACTTACCACATGCGTTTTAAAATGCTTAATAAGCACCGTAACTTTCATGATATCATTTCTCGGTCATAATCGGTTGTTTCCGTGAACGGCCGACTGTTGTGTGACGGCAAATGCTGCGGCTGCAAGGCATTGTGGGGCAGCATTTTCTCCTCTCCTTTCGGTTAGGGAGGTCCAGTGGTTCCTAAGCTAAAGGAGGTTATAAAGGAAGTTTGAAACCTCCTTTCCTTTCATCTAGAATTCGAACGGCACTTATCGTGGCTGCCACTGAGGGACTTCCGTGTCATTTCACTCCGTTGGGAAGGTTCCTAAGCTAAATGGACTATTCGACTTCAGCCAAGGTCCCATGAGTCCTACCGGAAGGGGAGGGACTTTGCCTCTCTATTGACTTCACAGCGGGTGGAACTTGTCATAAAGTCCGCGAAAATAAAGCCCACCCATTTAGAGGGAAGATATGCTTGGTCAATTGTACTGTCATTTGACATTACTCTCTCGTTGAGTTACCATAGAGTGGCGAAGTCCCTCCCCTTCCGGTGGACCTCCATGTGACCTTATTTCGGAAAATTATGTATTGAAGTCAATGGAGAGAGAAAGATTATCTTTTGATCCCGTTTGAATTGTGCCACGAATTACACATATGATGTTTGTCAATTTAAAAGATAATTTTGCAAGTCAAAAAAAAAAAATGTGTCTAAAAACTGTGTGTAAAACTGTGAAGTAACACATTTGTTTGTGTGAAACGCTCAATGAACTACATCTCTTGTCTCGCAGAACAACACACGTCACCAAGATGGCCGTCAGTACTGTCTTGTCAACAAAACGATTGACTCACTATCACTACAATGAAACACGTCCAGAAGAATGTCATGCAAAGCTGCCTGCCTGCCTTCCTTTGATTCTCTCTGAACTGCCTGGTCTTTTTAATGTTTAATGTCAACCATTTGTGCAGATAGCATGAAGTACAAAAGATCGGCGATCGCCGATGCTAGCGTTAGCGTTAGCATTACTCCCCCAGGCTTAAATTGTGTATTCTAGAATGATCACACCGGTGACAGTACTCTTCAAAGGGTTCACAAAATATGACTACTACTCTTACTGTTTAACATTTTGGGTTACTTAATGTTACTTCATATTAAAGGAATGCTCCACTCATTAGATAATTAATCAAAACTTCAGTATTTAGTGAAACATTATGTTTAAACCATACCCTGAAGAAATCAGCGATATTCCCCGGTAAATAATGATTTTATAGCTCTTTTTTATCAAAACCTGTATATTCCGTCAGGCCGCTGCCATTTTGCCCATTTTCAGTAGTCACGTGATGGTCGTGACGTCATCCATGCGTTCACTTTGTAAACACACGAAAACATGGCGAAGTTTTGAGCAATATGAAGAGATTGGAAGGGGGAATTCAGCCATACAGGTTCGAGCCTACTTAGTACTACTTAGTAGATACAATGATTTTGATTACTAGATATGTATGCATGTAGTACCACCCTTGCTAGCGATTCCCTCTCTAGTTTAGCATACTCAGCCTCGTTGTCCCTGGCCCTAGAACCACGATTTTATGGGGCCGGTGTTATGCCGTAGGTTGAAGCCCTGCCGTGGATTGAAGCCCTGTTCGCGGGGACGCGCAAAGGTGACGTCATCGCCTGTATTGAGCTTTTGCCGTTTTTTCACCCTTTTCAAAGCTTGTTTCTCTCTTGTGAATGATATATCAGATTAAACAGCAAACGGCTGAATAAATAATGTGCATACAATTGCGAGGAGGCTCGTTTTAAGGACACGTTTCTCAGATCTGTCACAATCTTCGTATTGGAATAAACTTCCGTTTTTGAGTGCAGTCCCACTCTGTTATATTCCTCCTTCCTACAGAACAGACAATGACGGGATAATATGTGATTTGTCAATAGTCCTATTTCTTAAAAACTTCTCTGTTGTTTAAGTGTCTGATAACCACGAATAGTAAGCAATGATATAACAGTAATGATATCACATGATCATGTCAGACACTGTTATTTTCAACCAAGCCTACAAGATAATGTGTTAAACTGGCTTCACTCACTTGAATTGCTCTTTTGAATATCATTTTTATATATCCCTACTCAACACATGTTTGTATTGTAATGCCACTCATATTTGTTTTAAATTGTATTTTAAAGTGACATTGAATGCTTTGAAAGGTGCCCTAAAATAAAGTGTATTATTGATCTTATATCTGTGCCTCTATTACATTACATTTCATTTTCTATCACACTATTAATGTTCCTTATTTTAGACTAGGTTAATCCTGGTGTCAATAAGGAAGATCTGCACTGTTCTCTACATAACATGTTCAGAGCAGGTATTTCTCCTGCCGGATTTGGAACCCCCCCTATATCTTTGTCCAGGATAGTCACAACTTCACCAAAATCATAATGGTGCTTGCTGTTCCCCTCTAGTTTGTGCTCACAAAAGCATTTCACTCTGGGCCCAGCAGGAAAAAAACTAAAGAGGGGCTTCAAAATCCGGCAGTGCAGTTGTTAGAGCTGCCGGATTTTGAAGCGCCCCCTGTCATTTTGGCCAGGATAGTCACAGACTCACCAAAATCACACTGGTGCTTGCTGTTCCCCTCTAGTTTGTGCTCACAAAAGCATTTCACTCTGGGCCCAGCAGGTACAAAAATAAAGAGGGGCTTCAAAATCCGGCAGCACCAACACCAAAATCCGGCAGATCAGGTGTTGGTGCTGCCGGATTTTGAAGCCCCTCTTTATTTTTGTACCTGCTGGGCCCAGAGTGAAATGCTTTTGTGAGCATAAACTAGAGGGGAACAGGCAACACCAGTGTGATTTTGGTGACATTGTGACTGTCCTGGCCAAAATGACAGGGGGCGCTTCAAAATCCGGCAGGAGAAATACCTGCTCTGAACATGTTATGTAGAGAACAGCAGAGGTGGGACCAAGTCATTGTTTTGCAAGTCCGAGTCAAGTCTCAAGTCTTTGCGCTCAAGTCCGAGTCAAGTCTCAAGTCATTGTTTTGCAAGTCCAAGTCAAGTCTCAAGTCAGGATGGGCAAGTTCAAGTCAAGTCAAGTCCTAAACTTTGACAAAACGAGTCATAAACAAGTCATTATGTGTTTTTCACCAAATGTAATGACATCGATCAACAGAATAATACTTAATAATCAAACTGCTCTTTATTAGTCACATTAATAATTTAATAATCCATTTTCTCTCTGCTGGTAAAGTAACGTGTGTTTTTCTAATTTAAGAGGGATCAGTAAGGTAAGGCTACCGTGACGGTTTGATTCAGAAGGAGTTTAATGTATAAGATCCCTGATGTTGAGGTAACCAGAATGTTTATTTCCACTGTGTACAACATGTTATAAGGGACCCACAATCTATCTTTATGCAAGGGATAATGTGCAGCGAGGTGGTCTCTATGGGGGAAAGAACACCTGCATCTAGATCCCTCTGCAGGTGGTACTTTAAGTATATTTTGATGCTCATACTTTTGTACTTTTACTTGTAACATTTTGAATGCAGGACTTTTTATTGTACAGGGTTCCTGCAGGTTTCGCCAACTCAAATTTAAGACTTTTTAACACCTTTTTAAGACCACTTTGAATAGAATTTAAGACCTATTTCACGGCAATAAAGTATGAAGGAAAATGTATATAAAGAAGAAATACGTCCCATAATCACTTACAAAGTAAATGTATTCATGTTCAACATAAGAACAATGACTGAACACAACAGCGTAACAGTACAGAACTGTGTTAGCGTGTTAGACAAAAAGTGTGTATGTGTGTGCGTCTGTGTGTTAGGGCTGTGCAATTAATCATATTTTAATCGCAATTACGATTTTGGCCTGCCACAATTACGAAAACAACATAATCGGAAAAAACGATTATTTTGCTTTGCTAGGTTGTGACAGTGCACCACAACATATTTGATCTAATGAATTTTTTAGTAATGTATCATTTATTTAATTAATTTTTGTATTAGTTTTTCAGTTGAATTATACGTTCAGGGTAATCAACAGTTAAAAATATACTGTTCAAATTATTATTTGTTTTAAAGTTCAATAAATGGATGTTTGCAAAGTCAATGAATAATCATATTTAATAATCGTGATATTAATTATTGACCAACATAATCTTGATTATTGCCATAATCGAGCAGCCCTAGTGTGTGTGTGTGTGTGTGTGTGTGTGTGTGTGTGTGTGTGTGTGTGTGTGTGTGTGTGTGTGTGTGTGTGTGTGTGTGTGTGTGTGTGTGTGTGTGTGTGTGTGTGTGTGTGTGTGTGTGTGTGTGTGTGTGTGTGTGTGTGTGTGTGTGTGTGTGTGTGTGTGTGTGTGTGTGTGGTGTGTCTCTGAGAGAGAGTGAGCTATATTCAGAGCTCTGCTGCCTTGGCTACACTATTTCATCGTTGCTGTTGTATGATTGGTGTTTAGCTACGTTATTTAGCGTCTACAGCACCTCCGCTTTTAGGGTTGACGTAGACCCAAACTTCGCCCGGAGGTCCCCCGGTGTTGTTGCGGGAGCTGCTGCACTAGCTAACACTCCACTAGCTAACGCTACATTAGCAAAACAAACGCTAATTTATTTTGCAAAAGGTGCAGCGGGCTTCAAACACGTTCCCTCCACTGGTTTCAACCAAGCACTAAATTAGATGTTTTCAAACCAAATACGGTTGAACTTACACTTCCCCATATTTATTTGCAAGTAGATTCGAAGATAGGCTACATGAGCTTGGTTGCTAGGTTACTAGCTGGGTGTTCTCCAATAAGGGGCCGGGGGAAACAAAGTTAGTGATTACTGGTTCCATGTTGATTTAATTCAATACAAATTGTTGGGGGGAACTGAAAGGCTATTACCGTACTGGTTACTTTGCAGCCCGGACATTTCCCCCAAAACACATTTAGACGCTATCGCAACATAGAAGTATCTTTCAAATCCGATAATTTTTAAGACCTTCTGAATCATATTTAAGACCTTTTTAAGGCCTTAAAAACCCTGCTCTGAAGGTTATTTTCATTTTACAAATCCTGCACTCAGCTTTGCTTTCTCCAATATCATTGAAAAGCAG